TTCGTAAGCTTCTTTCAAATATTAATTCAAATAAAGCCCAGGGACCAGATGGCATACACGGTAAAATTCTTAAAAATTGTTCCGTAGGTTTAGCTTACCCTCTAACATGCATTTTTCGTGGATCCTACAACAGCGGCTACATTCCACAAAAATGGAAACTTGCAAATGTTGTCCCAATATTTAAGAAAGGTAAGAAAAGTGAGGTTGAAAACTATAGACCAATATCCCTTACTTGTTTAGTCATGAAAGTTTTTGAGCGCATTGTTAAACGTAAACTGCTTTCTTCGACAAGTACCCTTCTTGATCCCAGACAGCATGGTTTTTTAGAGCACAAGTCATGCACAACCAATATGGTTGACTTTTGTGATAGCCTGGCATTGTCTCTTAACGAAAACATTATCAATCATGTTGTGTATTTTGATTTTGCTAAGGCATTTGATTCCGTAAATCATGATATCCTTCTTCATAAGCTAAAGACCTTATATAACATTGATGGTACACTTCTCAAATTTCTTACCAATTACCTTCAAGGCCGTTACCAAAGAGTGGTTATTGGTAATGAGATGTCATCTACCCTCTCAGTTAATTCTGGTGTCCCCCAGGGCTCTATCCTTGGTCCTTTACTTTTTGTATTGTTTATCAATGATATTCCTCTTGGCCTTTCGGATAATACTGATATTGTTTTGTATGCCGATGATACAAAAATCTGGCGTAAAATACATTCATCTTCTGATAATACTAATTTGCAAATGGATATAGACTATCTCTCTGACTGGGCACTAAGAAACAAAATGCGATTCCATCCAGCAAAATGTAAAGTGCTTATTGTTTCAGGAAAACCATCTTTATCTCCTCCATTCGCATATAATCTTGATGGCTCTCCTCTTGTGTATGTAGAGTTAGAAAAAGATCTTGGAGTCGATGTTACTCCTAAGCTAAGTTGGAATAGTCAGTGCGACAGAATTTATACTAAGGCCTGCCAACAACTTGGTATGGTCAGAAGAAATGGCCATATTGTCATTGATCAGAAACGTCGCCGGGCGCTTTACCTCTCCCTGGTTCGTAGCCAATTCGAAAATTGCTCCATAATCTGGCGCCCTTGTAATAAATCACTTAGTGATAAATTAGAAAGTCTCCAAAAGAGAGCTATTAAATGGATTCTGTCTGAAGAGGGCCGCAGTTATCCACCTGAGCAATATGTCAAAAAGTGCAAGCTTGTCGACATTCTCCCTTTGTCTCAAAAGTTTGACTTGAATGATCTTATTTTTTTCCACAAAGTTCTGAACAATTTAATTCCTGTATCGCTGCCTCACTATCTCTCTTTATATCAGGGGACTTCTCGACTAAGACGTTGCCACCTCGACAGTCTGTCTATTGTGTCATCAATTTTACCTAAGTTAAGTCAGAATTCACACACCTTATGTACCTCAAATAGCCCACTGGCAAAATCATTTTTCTACAGAACTCATATACTGTGGAATGGACTCCCTTTACAGGTAAGACAGATTGTGTCTACTAGTCTTTTCAAAGCTGAGGTCACTAAGCATCTATGGAAATGTTTATTGGATAGTGAAACAACAGCCTAGCCTAGTCTCCTTGCTCCCCATATTATTATTATTTTTGTTTTATTAATTTTTTTATCTACCTTCCTATACTTTCAACATCATATCACACTTCACCCGCACACCTTCTCACACATTAATGACCATATCAGACCTGTATCTAATGTATCTGGAATTTGACGTATTGAAATACCAATTTTGACTATATATCCACAGTTATTCACCATGGATTTGTTTGTTATTAAATAGTTTTTCATAAATTTTTGGATTTAGATTGATTCGATGTAATGGGTCCAAGTTACTGCGGACATAGTTCACTATGTGTTTACCGTGTTTGGGTGCCCATCATATTTTACAGATGGGGGCGATATTTTGAACGATTCTATTTTATATTCATCTATTGCTGTACTCTGTAAAATTTGAAAAGTATTTAATAAAAAAAAAATAAAAAAAAGGCCTTCGATTGTATAAATCACGATATCCTCCTTCATATTGAGCTTAAGATCTTATAAATGATATTATATATTCATATATTATATAATTATAATAGTTAATTGAATTTTAGCATGAATTGAATTATATATAGCATATATAGCCACCTCTAAAGATCTTTTCGGAGTTATGACCACTTCAAACAACTACTCGGACATCGAATTCGGGATGCACAACAATGCAGAAAGATACTTTTGGGAGTCTTACCATTTATTTGGCGTCCTGTCATCCCTTATTGGAGATACTCTGATCTTGATTGCATCGTTCCAGAAGGACGCCTTTAAAATTAAAAAAATCTTAGTCACAATAATCCAGCACATCGCAGTTTCTGATTTAATATTTTCTATCTCTAGCATTGCTCCTGCTGCTATCTCCTTGCTAGCCAACTCGTGGGTCTTAGGAAAAGCACTTTGCTATGTTAAGGTATATGTCGGCTACTTCGCTTTCTCAGCTGGCATGTCTCTCATCGCAGTTCTCACTACAAGCAAGTTCCTGACACTCAGATATCCTTTCCGAGCAGCATGTTGGCCAACAAAAAGAGCTCATCAAGTTTGCAGCTTTATTTGGGCTTCTGCCCTTATCTTTCCAATAATCTTCCTCGCTGTCGACAAGGATGATGTTCACTTTGACTACCGAGTCTACAACTGTAACTACGGTTATAGCTCTGATGCCTGGAAGACAATAATACCGATATTGGGATTTATATTCGGTATAGTTCCAAACATAATCATCGTCGCCACTACAGTTCCTATACTATATATTGCAGGGAAATCTGCAAGACGAGTTGGTGGAAGTGTTCCATGGCAAGGAAACCTGACTGTAGCCCTCACTGCTGTTGTCTACTGCATCTCCACCTTACCTTACGCTGTTAACGAAATCGCCATCAACTGCATGAAAGATCCCTCCGAGTTATTTCTTGTCCAATTCTATAAATGTTTCGTTTTCTTGACGATGATAAATGTTGTGGCCAACTTTTACATATACGTTCTGACGATCAGAAGTTTCCGACAATTCCTCCTTTCCAAAATTCGTTCGGTTGTTTCGCTACTAGTCTCGTTACAAACCTCGAACATAAGATCCACAGCAGGTAAGTTACAGTTACTAAACTAACAATTATTCAACCAACTATCACTGTTACAGTTACTTGACTAACTAAAAATTACTCAACTAATTATTTATCACTATTTTATCAATTTTCAAGCAATGGACCCAGTACTCACAGTGAGGAATCCTGATCAAATATATTTTCAGCAGGTGACAACCAAGAAATAAAAACAACTGACAAGAAAAATTCACTGCCTAACCAGATCTCACTACAGAACTCCCGGCACATTGCAGGTTTTTTAAATTACCGTTTTTATTAATTTAAGTTTGGTTATATATTTACAATACAATACAGACAGTATCTTCTAAAAATCTAATATGATACTGATAAAACGCCTGTTGAATGAGTCATGGATAGATAATATTAATAATAAAATGACATGTTATATTAATAAATTATTCTCTGTAGATAAAGACAGCGGAGGAATAATACCTGATGAGAAGGCGCCATCTGACGAAACCTCAGTTTGAAGCATGTTCGTACGTTGATAGGGAATTCAATCTAGAATAAGTTAAATATGAACTTAAACTCCTCCGGCCACGCCGATAGCTAAATGTGGCATTTACTAGAAACTAGAACATTTATTTCTAACGGGTATTCGGAGAACGCATCCATAAATTTGTGTTGGATTTTTTGAGATAAATTGAGTGGCAAATATTCATCCTTGTCTGGTTGAGGATCAAGGATAGAATCGATTTTTGTGATCAGACTTTCAGTTTGAATACTCTGTACTGTAATTTCGAAGGGGTATCCCTTGACTTTAATAATTACATTTTAATTTCAGTTCGTTAAGTCTTGTATTCATCTCTTTCTATGTTTTTATTTTTCATTATGATTTCCTATTTGTGCACAGAAAGTTAATGTGAATCTTAATATTTCATCTGTGCCTATTTGTGCAAATTTTAAGTAGTGATAATTATGACATTTAATTATTGAACCCGGTATCTGATCTTGATTTCTCATCTTCTAGGATTAATAAAATATTATGAATCTTTTGATTTTCGTCGATTATGTTCGTGTTCAATAAATATTAAATTTGACAACTTTGACAAAGAAGTTCGTTTCACTACTCAAATGCTCATACATTTCCAAAACTTCCAAGATGCTTAAAGAAAATATGATGTAGCGGAATGTTTATTTTATAAAGACAATAACCACTCCAAGTTAAAGCTTTGCAATGAAATAAATTTACTATTTACATCAATTCATCTCCCACAACTGTAAATATATTTTAATCTGTTATTCACCTTTTTTAATCAAACCATTTCGCAAATTAAAATGTAATTAGATAATCTTATAATTTGGTAGATTAAGTTCCCTTCGAAGCAGTTTTAATTATTTCGATCGACAGAAATCTGAATAAAGCTTTAAAACTGGCTTGGTATAAAAAGTAACTTCTATTATTTGATAAAATATCAATTTTTAATGATTTATTGGTTCAAGAAATTCAAGGATTGTCAGTAAAATTAAACAAATAGAAATAATCCCTACACATGTTGCGACACATTTACTCGACAGTCGGCAGAATACAGTACCTTGACATAAACATAACTATTTGTCGCAATCCAGACCATTTGAGAAGTTTTACGTAAACGCATATTGCATTTGTAAATATTATAAAATTATGTGTCCTAAAAATGTTTTCATGCACTTAAGTAACAAGTTATAAAAATAAATTAGTTCGGTTTAAAATTAAATTAAATCTATTAAAGCAACCTGCAGAGTAATACAAAAACAGTAACGATAAAATAAATCTGACTCAAGAAAATCTAAATCAACTAAGAACTCACCAAGCATTCACATAAATAAAAATGTTAAAGTATCTGAAGAATTGAAAGTCTTTACACATTAGTCTTCTGCTTCTTCTCCCTGGCACGCTTGTTCTGAAACCACATCAACACAGTGCTGAGCTCCAGTCCAGTAACCTGACACAAAGTTCCTTTGTTTGTCCCGGTAACATATTTATTAACGTTCTGATAATAGTGCTCCAGAACTCTGATCTGCTCGTTGGAAAACTTGGTCCTTTTCCCCGCCGGATTAACGTCTGAAGCTGCTGTATTTTTCTTCTTCGACAACATCTTGCCAATAGTTTCTTTGAAACTGAAGTTAAATCGCTCTTTAGCAGAGCTATTCGTAAAGAATTCCCCTCCGGGGATATATGGTTTACTCATTGTATCAGGGTAAGGTAAATACCCTGCAGCTAAGTTATCGGGTACTGCTTTGTTACCAGGGTTACCAAGGTACACCTCTCCTCTCTCTTTGTCCAGGGGCATGTTGACGGTATTTCGGGACAGCCCTCCCTCTCCTAGACCCCGCGCGGCGTCAAAATACCCCATATCAAGTTGAGGCATGGGCTCTTGTTTGGGTCTCATGGTTTGAAGAAAGTCTCCTCTAACGTTGTGTAGAGGTAGATTAGCTGATCTGGGCCCTGAAGGTAGTGGGGGCTGGAACCCTCTGGTAGGGGGTGGGGTGTGGAATTGGAGAGGTCTCGTATCGTTAGGGAACAGATGAGAGGGTAGGTTAGGAGGTCTCCCTCCTAAGTGAGGTGGTCTGTGGGCCGGGTGAGGCGCCTTGTGTAGTTCTGCTGGTCGCGCGGCTCGGTCCAGGTCACGTGGGCCATCAGGTGTCTGATCACGTGGGCACTGATCACGTGGGCCCTGGTCACGTGGGCACTGATCACGTGGGCCCTGGTCACGTGGGCAATTGTCTTGATAGTTTTTCTCGGAACTGTCTCTGAACTGAGTGGGAACTCTGGGTGTGGGACTGTGAGGTGATCTCTGATCCTGGATTTCTTGAGCCTTGGCATGGTGTTCGTGTTGGAGAGTTGGTCGGATTGATGACAGGGATTCTCCTCGTTCTATCACGTGGTCTGAACCAGGCAGTCTAGAACTTTCTGACTGAGGAACTGAAAGTTTGGAATGTTGTGGTATTCTAGAATGCTCCGGAAGCGGTAATCTAGCACTTTCTGGTAAGTTTGTTCTGGGATACCCCGCAGAAGTGCCGCTGTCTGTCCTGTTATAATACCCAGGACTAGGTCCCAGAACAGCAGCTGACTGATCGAGGGAGGGTCCCATGATGGGTGTGGCGGGGTTGGGAGTCTGTGGGGGCGGTAGTCCGGTCTGGTCAGGTGCTAGGGAAGTTGAAGTGTAATCTCTGGGGTTTTACATCCATACCTGCGAGAGGGAAGCGGTTTAGTTTCTCAGGAAATGTTAACATTTTAAATTTTATCAACTCAAGTACAGAATTCGATACTGTCAAAGAGATTGTTCACATTAATTACGTAAGGAGGAATTTTGGGAGGAGGGATGATTGGAAAGCTTACTCTAGTGTTATTTCTACACAATAGCTGTGAGTAAAGTGGCTTACGGAAAAGGGGTCTAAAATAGGAAAAATTACAAAAGTTTAGCTCACGTAATATGTGAACGATCCCTAACGGGGGGTACCATTGGTACCCCCCCCCCCTCCTTAACCATAACAAAACCAACTCCTAGTATTCTCATTTAAAGCTGTTGTTCAGCTGAAAAATGCAACTCACCTTGGTTAGGAAGTGGAGGTGAACTATATTGACAACTCTGATCTGGCTGGAATCTTGTCTGACGGGAAGGGTTGAAGTTCTCTTTGTTTTCCAAATACTGGGGGTGAATGGGAGAGGTGGTGCTGTCAACAAATCTTTTCTCTGACTGGTTAAGAGGACTTGCCTGTGACGTCATCATACCACCACGTGACGTCATCATGCTAGTTCCCCCTGAAGAGAAACATGGCACGTTATTATTAGGTGGAAATATTAATGACGGATAGATTGAAACAGGCGACGAAAAACGCCGTGAATTTATTACCCAATCCTAGATTAGATAACTCAACTTGTAAGTAAGTAATGAACATCAACAAGTCTAGTTGATGAACATCATATCAATAAGTCGAGCATAACAATAACATAATATTAATATTATAACTTTAATATTAATATTAATATTATAACTTTGCTAACCGTGAGCACTATAAGGGGGAGGGTCCATGATGTTCTGCTGTTAACGATCTTAAACTCGAGAGAAGAAGTTAACGAACTTAAACTCCTCCACACCATGACCAATACTAATAGCTAAATGTGGCATTTACTAGAAACTAGAACATTACGATTTATTTCTCACGGGAATTCGGAGGTACGTTTCCAGGAAATTATGTTAGATTTTGTGAGTAATTAAGTGACAAATATTTATCCTTGCCCGGTTGAGTGATTGCAGGATAGAACTAATTTTCGGAATCAGACTTTCAGTTAGACTGTGAATTATACTTCTGACTATTATTAAGTTGAAATTAACTGTAAGATTTATGACAAATCAGAAAATCTTAGAGTTACTGTTAGCCAAAGAAAATTTAAATTATGATTGTGTTCCACTTCTAAAGTAAGGACAATTTAACAATGACAGATTTTAGTTGGGGTAACATTTGATCTCAATAATGTCATTTTAATTTCAATGTGTTAATTAATCTTGTATCATTATTATTCCTATTTGTGTTTTTATTTAATATCTTTCAAGATGATTTCCTATAATAGCTCACAGAAAATTTATGCGAATGTTCATACATAATAAGTAATCTTGGTCTATCTGTGTGAATTTTAAGTATTGATAAATATTTGATCATCGAAGACCCGTTATCTGAGTCCTGACTTGATTTCCCATCTTCTATAATTAAAATATTGTGAATTCCTAACTATTGATTTTCTCAGATTTTAGTGTTCAATAAAATAATAAATATGACCAGTTTTTACAAAGAAGTTCGTTTCATTGCTCATATTATATGGAAATCACTCGATTTCGCCTTGATAAAAGATTCTGTCTGGAGATCCAATAATATAAAGGATACCGAATTATGCGGATACATTTGACTATCTATATTCAGATATGAAGGGACTTGATTATGACGCAACAATTGGGTCACTAGGCCACCTCTAATACAAATTGGAACTAATAGTGCATTTGTAGGTGAATTATCAAAATCATTGTTAAGATACAATTATTGCAGAATACAATTCTATGGGAAATTTTCCAAGTTTTGCGGGTGAGTAGTTTTTTGTACGATTTGAGTAGCCCATTTTGTGAATAAAAATGAGAATTTTAGGTTTTGTGGGGTAAGCTGTTTCTTTGTAGGATTTGAAAACACGTAAATTACACAATATTTTATTGTATAGTGCACGAGATATATTAATTTGCTTCGTCATCTCCTAGTCATATGTCAATGATGCTGGTTTTAAAATTGACTTTGATCATGTTAGTAAGCTTCTTTCAGCTATTAATCTTACTATATATAAAGCGAGACGATATATATATGTGTATATATCCGTGCCATTTTACTGACACCACGGCATCAACTTTAACGCGACTTTCCGCAAAAACCGTAAAACATATACAACTGAAACTTTTTTGACTTACTCCAGTAGCAGGGAATAGTTGAGTGTGCACTTCGATGTACACGATTTCTGACAACACAGGGTTGTTTGTTAGATCATTCTTAACCAAAATCGATTAGGTACGCAATTTGTGTCGCTAGACATAACCCTACAGGGCAAATTTTCTAAATTACCCTCAGTCGCGTATACGGGATTTTTGTATTTCAGCTCCTAAAGGTCATAGAGACTTAAATTTTAGCTTAAAATTACCGCAATGGCCACATTTATATACAAGTTATGAAGCAACATAAGGTCTCCAGTGCTTCGTTTTATAGATATTGACAAAAAACTGTTTTTTGGCTCAGCGAACCAAAAATGGCACTGAATTTTGGTAACTTGAACTAGGAAGGTCGTAGAGACTTGACTTTTAGCTTAAAATGACCGCAAACATCATATTTATATACAACTTATAAAGCAATATAAGCCCTTTAAGGCTTATTTGTTAAGATATTGACAAAAATCAGTCATTTTGGCTACACGCATTAGGAAAAATACCAAATTAAGCAACTACTTTGGTCTTTTTTTGACAAGTTTTGTGCTCAAGTTATTAAAATGTGCTTTGCAGTTGTATATCGGGTGTTTTCTTCCAATATGGGTTTCGGTATAAATCCGGAAGCACCCGGTTCATGGGTGATAGGGGTTAAAAACCCTGAAATGTCAGGCGATGGGCGAGACAATTGTCTGAATTTGGTTATAAAATCACTCTTTGCTATGGTTTGCTTTTTTCCGCTACATCGATCCGCTTTCTTACTACTAATCATCCCCCTCTACATCATTCTCTTTTAGATACATGATTTCTATAAGTTCTTGAAGGTACATCCGGCATGATGTCAAGTCTATATCAAAGCATTTTAATGTGGTTTTAACAAGTTGCAAGATATTCAAGTTCACAAATAAAACAAAGATTGTAGGTTATCCTTCTTTTACATATTGAGTAATTGTGGGCTTTTTGAGGGGGAGGCTATAAAATGGCCAAATATAATTTAAACGTAAACGACCCAATAATAATATTAAAAGTAGAATGAAACTACTTACTTATACAGATTTATGGTATCCTGTTTCAAGACGCTTGCTCCTGATTTGTATAGCAACAATATCGACTGACCCCACGGGCCACGACGTTGTAATATAATTGTGGGTAGCCAATCTAACTACCGTTCTATAAGTTTTGAACGGTAGTTTGTAAAAATAATTATTTCCAAGGTGATACTAACCTTCAAAGGTACATTTTTAGTTATTATCAAATTATTCGGGTTGACAGTATTTTGAATCGGGAAATCAAAGCGTAACTTTTTGATCACAGATAAACGATGTGGATGCGGATGTTGTACAGTGTACATTAACGTCATCTTAAATCTATTTTGAATGGAGTATCATACAGTAGTTCAACTATATAATTGCATATTCAGTATTCACCTACAAGCATGTTTGGCGTGATAAGGTACATCTTTGAATGGTAGTAGGGTCTTTCAGCGACACAGCAATATCACTTCCATGGTAGTCCCCGGCTTATAACGGGTTCATAGCGGTATCAAACATGTTTTATGGGCCTTACTCCAAATCATCTGTCCATATAATGGTGTTTCTGGACAGATAGATGGTGTATGGTGCCCTCATGCTAATTTCAGCGATCTTCATGCAGGCCTTTTTCTCTTTAGTTTACGCTCAGGTGGTTCATAAAGGTTTGGAGGCTGCAGTTGTAAATGACTCGAACTCCAACTTGTACTGTCTGGAGCTTGCAAGCCCATCCGTTGGCTTCTATCTCTTCTGTCAGCTGCTGATATCTCTTCATATTATTTTCTCTTGATCAGCAAAGTTGTCCTCATTCAGATGCACCTTCTTCGCTTTATCTGAATAGATCACTACATCTGGTCTCAATAGTGTTACCCTAATGTAATGTCTAACAATAATATAATATAACGTTTATAAGCGCTTAAATTTCGAACTAGCGGACCATATTTGGAGGAGATACTTGGGACAGTTTTTTTGCTTGGAAATACTGATTTAATCGAATTGTAACCACAAAAATGACTCCCAATAATATTCTTATAGAAAGTGTGGATAAATATTAAATATTAAAAAATAATACAGGTTTGACTATGAAGTTTCGTCAATAATCACGTAAAGAATAATAGATAACCTACAATCTTTGTTTGGTAAACCAATTTGGTATCTTTCCTCACATGTGTAGCCAAAATTATTCAATATGTAAAAGAAGGATAACCTACAATCTTTGTTTTATTTGTGAACTTGAATATCTTGCAACTTGTTAAAACCACATTAAAATGCTTTGATATAGACTTTACATCATGCCGGATGTACCTTCAAGAACTTATAGAAATCATGTATCTAAAAAAGCAAACCCTAGCAAAGAGTGATTTTATAACCAAATTCATACAATTGCTCGCCCATCGCCTGACATTTCAGGGTTTTTAACCCCTATCACCCATGAACCGGGTGCTTCCGGATTTATACCGAAACCCATATTGGAAGAAAACACCCGATATACAACTGCAAAGCACATTTTAATAACTTGAGCACAAAACTTGTCAAAAAAAGACCAAAGTAGTTGCTTAATTTGGTATTTTTCCTAATGCGTGTAGCTGTGTAGCCAAAATTGATAATAAGATAAACACGATATTATAAAACTGGAATAATTAGATTTAGATAATACACAATACTATCTACTTGAACACTGATAATGAGATAATACACAATATTGTACTAAGTGAATCTTTCCTAGTCAATTGCTTTCCAAACTAACACACTCCACTACGCACTCGCACTGCAATGACTAACAAAGGTAAATAGTAATTCAATATATAATAACTCAATCACTTCAATTATATAAAGTACCCAAAACACTATCAATCAATGTAACTTCTCTACTACAATACACCGACACTATTACTTGTCTTCTGTTGAGATCTCTACAATACACCGACACTATCACTTGTCTTCTGTTGAGATCTGTGGAGTTCTTCTCTGAAGTTCTTCGTTCTGGAATCTATCTTAAGTACAATCCAATTGACTTATATTCACCGATAGTCCACACTGGTCACACCGACCGTACACTGTAATCTATCTTTTCACCGATAGTACACACACTGGTCACACCGACCGTACACTGCAACTGTAATCTATCTTCTCACCGATAGTACACACTTGTCACACCGAAGAACACGACTCCTAACACAAGTCCACCAACATACAACTGCAACTGGCGTGGCTAGTAGCACTGGTCCACCGTAGAGCAACCACCAACGTCGGGTAGACGAATAG